GAGCCCCGCAGCCTCCTCGGCTCCGGCATCCCCGGGGAGATCGGCCCCGAATTCCTCTGTCCCCGAATTCCTGATGTCCTAAATTCCCGATCCCCCGAATTCCTCTGTCCCCGAATTCCTGATGTCCTAAATTCCCGATCCCCCGAATTCCTGATCCCCCAAATTCCTCACGTCCTAAATTCCTGATCCCCCGAGTTCCTGATCCCCCAAATTCCTCACGTCCTAAATATCTGACCCCCCGAATTCCTGATCCCCCGAATTCCTGATCCCCCGAATTCCTCACGTCCTAAATTCCTGATTCCCCGAATTCCTGATCCCCCGAATTCCTGATCCCCCGAATTCCTGATCCCCCGAGTTCCTGATCCCCCAAATTCCTCATCTCCTAAATTCCTTATCTCTTAAATTCCTCAGCACCTGAATTCCTGATCTCCCAAATTCCTCACCCCCCAAATTCTTAATCCCCAGAATTCCTCATCTCCTAAATTCCTAATCTCCCAAATTCCCCATCCCCCAAATTCCTGATCCCCCGAATTCCTCATCCCCTAAATTAATTCCTAATCTTCCAAATTCCTGATCCCCCAAGCTCCTCAGCCCCCAAATTCTTCATCCCCTAAATTCCTAATCCCCCAAATGCTTCAGACCCCAAATTCCTCAGCCCCTGAATTCCCCATCTCCTAAATTAATTCCTAATCTCCCAAATTCCTAATCCCTCCAATTCCTCAGCCCCCAAGTTCCTCAGCCTCCAATTTCCTGATCCCCCAAATTCTTAATCCTCCAAATACCTCAGCCCTCAAATTCTTAATCCCCTGAATTCCTCATCTCCTAAATTCCTGGTCCCCCAAATTCCTCATCCCCCAAGTTCCTCATCCCCCATATTCCTAATCCCTCAAATTCCTAATCCCCATGTATTCCTAATCCCCCGAATTCCTCATCTCCTAAATTAATTCTTAATCTCTGAAATTCCTCAGCCCCCAAATTCTTCAACTCCTATATTCCCAATCCCCCAAATTCCTCATCCCCCAAATTCCTGATCCCCCAAATTTCTCATCCCCCATATTCCTGATCCCCCATATTCCTCACCCCCAAATTCCTCACCCCCTCTCCGTGACCCCCCAGGAGCTGTGACCCCCTCAAACAGGAGAAGCATTTCCAGCAGGGCCGGATGGTGCCGAGCTCCTCGTGCCGTGTTCCAGCCCTAATTAGGGCTTAATTAACATCCTGCAGCTCCCTCATTTCCTGTCCCCGCGGCTGAGGACGGGCCCTGCCCGGGGACCCCAAACCCGGTGGGGTCGAACCCTGGGAATGGGGAAACTGGGGGGATCTCGGATGGATTAAGGGGGTCCCCAAACAGGGGAGAGGTCCCAGGTGGGGCCAAACCCTGGGAATGGGGAAACTGGGGGGGTCCCGGATGGATTAAGGGGGTCCCCAAACAGGGGAGAGGTCCCAGGTGGGGCCAAACCCTGGGAATGGGGAAACTGGGGGGGTCCCGGATGGATTAAGGGGGTCCCCAAACAGGGGAGAGGTCCCAGGTGGGGCCAAACCCTGGGAATGGGGAAACTGGGGGGGTCCCGGATGGATTAAGGGGGTCCCCAAACAGGGGAGGGGGTCTCAAAAGGCACCTCTGGACCAGGACACGGCCCCATTGCGGTATGGGGCAAGGGGGGGGCGGGGTCCGGGAGGGGTTGGATCCCAAAATTCCGAGCCTGGGGGGGCACCGGGAGGGAGCGGATCCCAAAATTCCGAGTTTGGGGGGGCACCGGGAGGGAATGGATCCCAAAATTCCGAGTTTGGGGGGGCACCGGGAGGGAGCGGATCCCAAAATTCCGAGCTTGGGGGGCACCAGGAGGGAGCGGATCCCAAAATTCCGAGCCTGGGGGGCACCGGGAGGGGTCCCGTGGCACTCACTCGCCGCGTCCCCGTCCCCCGAGCAGATCAGAGCGGGCAGGATCCCGGGAAAGCCCCGGGAACGTCACCGGGCTCGTGACAGGGACGGGCATTGGCCAAAAATAACCCCGAGCCCACCCCGTGCCAGGCGGGGACAGAGGGGACAGCGACGGGACTGGCACGGAGGGAGCGTCCGAGGTGCATTCCGAGCCCCAGGAACCCTTTGGGGACAGCGCGACCGGGGGTGAACCCCAATTCTGGGGGGTCCCGGACCGTGCAGGGCAGATTCCCAGGAGCTGTTCCTAAAGCAGCAGTGAGGGACATGCCAGGAGCTTTACACACAGCCTGGAACAGGTCCCAGCCACTGCGACTCCCCTGCTCCACTTTGACCCAGCTAAACCAGTTGCTCCAGTTTAAACCAGTGCCGGGGCTGGGCCGAGCTTGTCTCCCCATCCCATCGCCTGCGAGAGGCTTTTCCATACTCGGGCTTCGGGAAGGGAGGAGCTGAGGTGGCCGGGTTGGGGACACCGCCCGTGGTGGCTCTGTGGCACCTCTGTCCCCTCCAGAGAGACCCGGTGGGGCCAGCAGGGGCCACTGCCGGGCTGGACACTGTGGTGACCGTGGTGACATCCCCGGTTGGGGTCTCCAGCCCAGGCAGGGGTCACTGCTGGGCTGGACACTGTGGTGGCCGTGGTGACATCCCCGGTTGGGGTCTCCAGCCCAGGCAGGGGTCACTGCCGGGCTGGACACTGTGGTGACCGTGGTGGCCGTGGTGACATCCCCGGTTGGGGTCCCCAGGCTGGTCCCTGTGGTGGCTGTGGTGACATCCCCGGTTGGGGTCTCCAGCCCAGGCAGGGTGTGGAGAACCCCAGGAGGAGGATGTGGACGTGGACACTGAGCCCCTGCTTGTGGTTACCCTGTCACACAGGGTCCTGTTGTCCTGTATGGCCCTGTCCCTATATGGCCCTGTCCCTATATGGTCCCTGTCCCTTTATGGCCCAAGTTCCTACATGGTCCCTGTCACTGTATGGTCCCATCCCTGTCCCTATATGGCCCAAATCTCTATATGGCCCAAGTCCCTAAATGGTCCCTGTCCCTATATGGTCCCTGTCCCTATATGGTCCCTGTATGGCCCAAATCTCTATATGGTCCCTGTCCCTATATGGTCCCTGACCCTATATGGTCCCTGTCCCTGTATGGCCCAAATCTCTGTATGTTCCCTGTCCCTATATGGTCCCTGACCCTACAAGGTCCCTGTCCCTATATGGCCCTGTCCCTGTCCCTTTATGGCCCCCATCCCTGTCCCTAGATGGCCCCAGTCCCTCCACAGTCCCAGTCCCATTCCCTTTATGGTCCCCTCCTGTCCCCGCTGGTGTCCCCAAGGCCATCTCACCCCCCCCCGCCCATGGGGACAGTCCCGATGGGAATCCCAGAGTGTCCCCTGGATGTCCCTTCCCCTCCTGTTGTGGGGCACCTGCCCCTTCCTCACCCCAAATTCCAGGTTCAGGAGTCACGGGCCCGCCTGGCTCCGGGGCCGCTGATTCACCCCAAACCTGTCCCCGCTCCTGCCCCTGACTCACCCGCCCTTTCCCAAGAGGCCACCCCGGTGTCCTGACGTGGGGCTCGGGGACCGTCCCAGCCCCGTCCCGTCCCCTCCCCGTCCTGCCGGGGCCGGATGGGGCTGCAGGAAACCAATTCCTGCCCCGTGAGCTGGGGTGACAACTGTGGGGTGGGGACAGGGCCCGTGGGAGCCTCCCTGTCCCCGTGAGTGTCCCAGGGCTCAGCACAACCCAGTGACAGTGACATTGTACCGGGGACACCCCTGTCCTTGGTCCCCAAAAGACCCATGGGGCTCTGGGACCCCAAATTCCCGCGTGTCACCCTGGGAATGGGACAGTTTGTCACCCAGGTTGGGGTGGACAATTGTGACATTGTACTGGGGACACCCCTGTCCTAAACCCCAAAAACACCCCTGGGGCTCTGGGACCCCAAATTCCCACATGTCACCCTGGGAATGGGACAGTTTGTCACCCAGGTTGGGGTGGACAATTGTGACATTGCCCTGGGGACCCCCTGTCCTTGGTCCCCAAAACACCACTGGGGCTTTGGGACCCCAAATTCCTGCGTTTTCCCCTGGGGGGCTCCAGCTGCCTTGGGGACACTGGGGACAGTCCTGAGGCTGACAATTGTGACATTTTGGTGGGGACCCCCTTTCCTCGGCCCTAAAACACCCCTGGGGCTTTGGGCCCCCAAATTCCCATGTGTTGCCTTTGGGGGGCTGCAGCCTCGCTGTTTGTCACACCCCTGGGTGAGGCTGGGGACATTGGGGACAGTCCTGAGGCTGAGGGTCCCCTCGGGGTGTGGGGCACAGTTTGGGGTCCCCGTGGGAATGGGGGTGCCCATCTGGACACATGCCAGGGCTGCCATGTTATAAATACCCACTGATTAAAGGCGAGGGCTCGGGCCGTCCCAACCCCCTAATTAATTGGGATTAATTAATTTTTTACAGAGCCCACTATTAATAGGGATGATGTCAGCGGGTGGCTGAGTCACAACTCTCACTCGGTGCGGGCCCAGCCGGGCCCTGGCTCGGTGGCACTGCCGGGGCCAGGCCGGGATGTGACAGGGAAGTGACAGGGATGTGACAGGGATGTGACAGGGATGTCACCGCGGCTCCTTGTCCCCAAGCCTGCAGGGAAGGACCTGGGGGTGACACCTGCCCTGCACGCCCGGAATGGGGCTCAAAGTTTGGATTTAACCGTCTCGGGGGTCTGTTCCACCCAAAACCACCCCGGTTCCGGGAATGTTCCTGTGCACGGCCCCGGTGATGCCCCAGCCCCGGTGATGCCCCAGCCCCGGTCCCCTCCTGTCCCCACCGGAGCTGCCGAGGCCGCGGCCACTTCAGGCCGGGTTTGGTGCGGTGCCCGAGCGGGGAGGGAGCAGAGGACGGAGGGACGGACGGACCGACGGACGGGCGGTGACTTCGCGTCCGTCCGGCCGCATCAGGAAACCCAACACCGGCGCGACGCGGCGGGGGGGACACAAAGGCTGCGCTGTCCCCTCCTGCGGCGCGGGTATAAAACCTCCCGAAAACGCCCCAAAACTGCCCCAAACCCCTCGAAACCTCCCGGGGACAGCGAGGGGTGAGTGAGGCCTCCTCGCAGCTCCGGTGGGGAGCCCTGATGTCCCCGTGTCACCACCGGGGTCCTGCACAAACCCCGGGACCCTCCTGAGCCCTCGCAGGGCTGGGGAGGGGGCGAGGGTCCCCCCTGGGACATCCCCCGACCCTTTCTGGGCTCATGTCCCTGCAGCCCCGTGTGCGGTGCCATGGCCGAGCTGCCCGAAGGGACCGAAGGGACCGAAGCGAGCGATGCCACCGAGCTGACCGAGCTGGAGGCGGCCATCGAGCGCATCGTCACCGTGTTTGTCACCTTCGCCGCCAAGGAGGGCAGGAAGGGGACGCTGAGCACCGGAGAGTTCAAGGAGCTGGTGCGGCTCCAGCTGCCCAACATGATGAAGGTGAGGGGGGCAGCAGCAGCGCCGTGGGGATCCCCGGTGTCCCCCGGAACCGCGGGGCTGCTCCCGGTGCCCCGAGGATCCCCTTGAACCGGTGCCCCAGGGGTCCCCCTGAACCACGGGGCTGCTCCCGGGGGTCCCCGTGAACCGCGGGGCTGCTCCCAGTGCTCTGGGGGTCCCCTCGGTGCTGCTCCCGGTCCCCCAAGGGTTCCCCTGAACCGATGTCCCGGAGGTCCCCCTGAACCGTGGGGCTGCTCCCGGTGCTCCGGGGGTCCCCTCGGGGCTGCTCCCGGTCCCCAAGGGTCCCCTTGAACCGATGCCCCCAGTGTCCCCCTGAACCGTGGGGCTGCTCCCGGTCTTCTGGGGGTCCCCCTGAACCGGTCCCCCGAGGGTCCCCCTGTCCCGGTGTCCCGGGGGTCCCCCTGAACCACGGGGCTGCTCCCGGGGGTCCCCGTGAACCGTGGGGCTGCTCCCGAGGGTCCCCCTGAACCACGGGGCTGCTCCCGGTCTTCTGGGGGTCCCCCTGAACCACGGGGCTGCTCCTGGTCCCCCGAGGGTCCCCCTGAACCGGTGCCCCGGGGGTCCCCCTGACCCGCGGTTCTGTCCCGGTCCCCCCGGGGCTGGCAGCCCCTGCTCCCCCCGTGCCCATCCCGGTTTCTGGGGGGCTCCAAGCGGCCGAGCCGCCCTCCCGTGTGCCCCCCCGGCAGGACGTGCCCTCCCTGGAGGAGAAGATGAGCGAGCTGGACGTGAACAACGACGAGGAGCTGAGATTCGGGGAGTTCTGGCGGCTGATCGGGGAGCTGGCCAAGGCCGTGCGCAGGGACAAGGCGGCCAAGAAGTGACCGGGGGCCTCTGGAAAATAAAAAAAAGGTTTCCCTGAGCCTGAGCATCGCTGCTGTTCTTGCTGGGGGGCTCCTGATTTGAGCCCCCATCTCCTGGTGGGGATTGGGGTGCTGGTTTGGGGTCACTCCGTGACGGACGGGGCCGTTCCCAAATTGCCCTGGCGCCCGTCTGGCTTTTGGGGCCTGGTTTTTGGGGTCTGGTTTTTGGGGTCTGGCTTTTGGGGTGCCACCCTGCACCCCACAAACGCCTTCCTGCCGCGCTGGGGGGTGCGTGGGGGGCAGAGCTGGGGCTGTGGCCGGGGTGGGGCTCGGGAGATGCCCGGCAGCGATGCCGCGGTGGTCACGGTGGTCACCAGCTCCTCTGCAGGGTCTGGGGTGGCACAGGGGGGCACATCCCGGCTGGGGAATATCCCGAATATTCGTCCCCCGAATCCGGCGCTGCTGGGGCCGGCGGGATCCCGGCCCGGGCTCGCAGGGCCGTTCCCACGCGGTGCCAGCCCCGATGGGATGAGGAGCCGTCGGTGTGGCCGGGAAGGAGGCGTTTCCCGGCCCCAACGCTGGCGCCGGGCCAGGCTCTCCCAAATGAGGCGCCTTGCACCACGGAGCTCCCACTCACACCTGGCCCGGTATAAAACCCCGGCCCCGCCGCAGCCCGCGCACACCCGGGACAGCCCGAGCTGCAGGTAAGTGCCACGGGCTGGGACCGGGGGGATTTGTGCGCCTCGGGCCCCTCCGCTCCCACGCTCGGCTCTGCCACGACTTGCGGGGACGCCGGGGACGTGTCCCGGCAGCTCCAGAGCCGCATCCCGGGGCTCCTTCCGCGGTGAGGAGGAGGAGGAGGAGTCCTGGCGCTGGAGCAGGGGCAGCTCCCCCAGAACCCAGAGCTGAGCTTGGATTCCTTGCCCCGCCAGCTCCCCCGGAGCCTGCGGCACACGAGAGACCCCGAGAGACCCCGAGAGATCCCGAGAGACCCCCGAGAGACCCCCGAGAAACCCCCAGAAACCCCCAGAGACCCCGAGAGACCCCCAGAGACCCCCGAGGAGCAGCGAGCAGCAGGATGGGCCAGTGCAACTGCCGCAAGAAGCGAAAGGTCCGCGGGGACATCGGGGCACCGGGAGCCCCGGAGGGACGGGGGTGACACCGGGGGTGACCCCCGGGCACGGCGCGGGAGCCGGGGGGTGCTCGGGGCTTTGGGGCATCGGGGCAGCTCCGGGATTGACCTCCGGGAGCCTCTCCGAGGATGCCCCGGTGGCAGCGGAGCTCCCGTTCTGCTCGGTCTCCAACCGGGAGGTGCCCACCCCTGGCGCCGGTGGAGGATTTGGAGGTGCCGGGCTGAGGCTTTGGGCATCACCGGCTGGGGTTGCACGGGGAAGCCGCAGATTTGGGGTGAATCAGCGGCGTTTCCTTTAAACGGAGCCGCACGAGCGACCGGGGGCGACCGGGAGACACCGGGAGAGACCGGGAATGACCGGGAGTGATGGGGAGAGACCGGGAGAGACCGGGAGAGACCGGGAATGATGGGGAGAGACCGGGAGTGATTGGGAATGATGGGGAGAGACCGGGAGTGATTGGGAATGATGGGGAGAGACCGGGAGAGACCGGGAGTGATCGGGAATGACCGGGACTGCCCGGGGGTGGGGGTCCGGTTATTCTGCGCCCCCCACCCCGCCGGTACCGGGGTCTGGGGGTGGCCGAGGGGCTCCGGGGAGCTCCAGGCGGGCTCTGAGTCACTTGGGCTGGTGCGGAGGAGAGGAAGAACCAGTCGGGACGGGCCGGGCCCGCGCCGGGGGTGGCGAGAGACGCCGCGGTGGCGGAGCCTGGCGGGGCCCGGGCGGGGACAGCTCGGGGGGACAGGAGGTGGCAGCTGGAGGGGCTGTGACAGCCGGGCAGAGGCGCTGCAACAGCTGGATGGGGGCGAGCAACAGCTGTGCGGCCTCACGTCTGTGTGGGGGCCGCGGGGAGTGCGGGGGGTCACATCTGGATGGGGAGGTGGCACAGCTGGATGGGGAGGTGTCTCACATCCGCACAGACAGGCCTGGTGCTGAAAAGGAGATTTTTTTTATGCCGTGGTTGTGGAGGGGTTAAATGTCCCACCCGCTCGGGGCTTGTCCTGCGTCCCCCCCGCGGGATGTGCCACCTCTCCATGGAGCTGTGCCACCCCCGTGGGGACCTGTGCCCCTTCTCCAGGGACCTGTGCCACCCCTCCGCGGGATGTGCCACCCCTCTGGAGACCTGTCCCACCCCTCCACGGAGCTGTGCCACCCCTCCCAGGAGCTGTGTCACCTCTCCAGGCAGCTGTGCCACCCCTTTGGGGACCTGTCCCACCCCTCTGTGGGATGTCCCACCCCTCTGGGGACAGCGCCACCTCTCCAGGCAGCTGTGCCACCGCCCTGGGCACCTGTGTGACCCCTCTGGGGACCTGTCCCATCCCTCTGGGGACCTGTGTCACCCCTCCATGGAGCTGTGCCACCCCTCTGGGGACAGTGCCACCTCTCCAGGGAGCTGTGCCACCCCTCCATGGAGCAGTGTCACCCCTCCCGGGAGCTGTCCCACCCCTCCACAGAGCTGTGCCACCCCTCTGGGGACCTGTGTGACCCCCCTGGGGACCTGTGTGACCCCTCTGGGGACCTGTCCCCCTCTTTGCTCACGCCCTGTCCCCCCCGCAGGACTGCCAGGAGCTGACGGACGTGGAGCGGGCCATCGAGACCGTCATCAGCCAGTTCCACTGCTACGCCGTGAAGGGCCAGAAGGAGTACCTGACCCCCAACGAGATGCAGGACCTGGTGGTGCAGAAGCTGCCGCACCTGGGCAAGGTGAGGGAGGCGACCAGGAGGAGCTGGGAGGGCTCCTGGATGAGGTGGGACCCCCCCAGGATGCCCCGATGGGCTCCTGGATGAGGTGGGACCCCCTCCCATCACCTCGGTGTTGTCTCTGCAGTGCGTGGGACCCCTGGAAGAGAAGATCGAGTGCATGGGAGACCCTAACGAGGCCAAGCTGGAGTTCGGGGAGTACTGGGACATGATGGGGGATGCGGCCAAGGGCTGCCGGAGGAAGTAGAGGGCGGTGGGGGGGACGGGAAGGCGCCCGAGGTTCCGCTCCTGGAAACGCCGCCGAGCTCGGGGGGGATGAGCCCGGGCAAAAGCGACCTCGGAGGATCCCCCTGCCCTCCCCATCCCCGCCCTCCTCGGCTCGAACCCCGCCAGGATCGCTCCCTTCCCGCCCCCAGCTCTGCCCCGAGCCCGGCGCGGGGGGCACGGGGGGGTCCTGACCCCGGAGCCGCCTCCAGCCCCGGTGCCCGGGACCCTCCGGGTGCGGCTCCCCCGGTCCCGGAGCTCTGCAGCCATCGGGACTCGGCTCCTTCCCCTCGATCCCCCGGGATTTTGGGGCTCCTTCCCCTCGATCCCCCCGGGATTTTGGGGCTCCTTCCCCTCGATCCCCCCGGGATTTCGGGGCTCCTTCCCCTCGATCCCCCCTGGATTTTGGGGCTCCTTCCCCTCGATCCCCCCGGGATTTTGGGGCTCCTTCCCCTCGATCCCCCCGGGATTTTGGGGCTCGTTCCACCTCAGTCCCCCGGGACCCTCCGGGTTCGGCTCCCCCGGTCCTGGGGCTCTGGAGCCATCAGGACTCGGCTCCTTCCCCTTGATCCCCCCGGGATTTTGGGGCTCCTTCCCCTCGATCCCCCCGGGATTTTGGGGGTTCATCCCCCCAGCTCCGTGCCCTGGCACCTCCAGGGGCACCTCCAGGGGCACCCCGAGCTCTGCCGTGCCCGTGGGTGGGTGAGGGTGGCCCCGGAGCCTTCCTTGTGGGTTCCCCCCCCCCGGTTTTTGGGGGGTTATTTTGGGGTTGTTTTGGGGTTTTTGCCCTCCCGGTGCTCCCCCACACCTCCAGGGGGTTTGGGCACGGATCAGCTGGGGCCGCTCGCGACCGTTTTTGTATAAATTAATAAAGGAAAAAAAATGGAAAAAAACCCAAAACCAAACAAACAAACAATCAAACAAACAAACAAACAAAAACCCCAAACAAAGCAGGATGGGGGGGAACCTCCTTTGTGGGGGGCAGGGAGCGGGGAGGGGTCGGGGGTGCGGGATCGGGGGTTGGGGTCGTGGCTTTGGGGTGGGCAGAGGATGGGGGTGCAGGGGGTGAAGAGGGGGCGCTGGGGGGGTTCAGGGGGTGCCAGAGATGCTCAGGGGGTGCCAGGGATGCTCTGGGGGTGCCGGGGGGCGTTCAGGGGGTGCCCTGGCAGTGCAGGGGGTGCAGGGCTTCAGGGGATGCTTTGGGGGTGCTCTGGGGGGTTCAGGAGGTTCGGGGGATGCTCTGGGGGTGCTGAGGATGCTGGGGGGGTGCAGGGGACGCTGTATGGGTGCCGAGGATGCTCTGGGGGTGTTGGGGATGCTCTGGGGGGTGTCTGGGATGTTGTGGGGGTTCAGGGGATGCTCTGGGGGTGCAGGGGATGTTCTGGGGGGTTTCAGGGATGTTTTGGGGGTGCAGGGAATGCTCTGGAGATGCTGAGGATGCTCTGGGGGTGTCCGGCATGTTTTGGGAGTGCCGGGGATGCTGCAGGGGTTCAGGGGACGATGTAGGGGTGCTGAGGATGCTCTGGAGATGCTGAGGATGCTCTGGGGGTGCCAGGGATGTTTTGGGGGTGCCGGGGATGCTGCAGGTGTGTGTGTGTGACCCCTGTGGACATCCCAGGGCTCCTCACAGCCCCAATTCCCGGGTGCCCCCCATTGTGGGGACCCCACGGGCAGAGCCTGGGCTGTGCTTTGGGGGTCCTGGGCTGGAGGGAGATCAGGGGAGACCCCAAAATCCTGAAAAACCCCAAAGTCCTGGGAACCCCCCAAAATCCTGAAAAACCCCAAATCCTGGGAGTGAAACCCCCAAAATCCTGAAAAACCCCAAAATCCTGGGAGTGAAACCCCCAAAATCCTGAAAAACCCCAAAATCCTGGGAATGAACCCCCCAAAATCTTGAAAAACCTCAAAATCACGGGAAACCCCCAA